CGTGAACCGTTGGTGTCCATGTTGAATTGTTTTCCACTTGAAATGCAGGATTAAATCTCTGTAATAATATGGATGAATGGAAACACGATTAGCCAGAGTCAGAAAAGAAGCAGCCAGTTGATGCTGGTGTACACAGTATCACACTGGCAGAAACAGCGCTTCTGATGTTGGATGACATTAAGGAAGTGGGTTTTTGGGAAAGCACTGGGGAAGAGCAAGGGCCTAGACTACTTCACATCGGGGTTCAGTTTTCCCTTCCTTCATTCAAATGCCCAAAAAAGAGACCTGTAAAGAGTGAAAGTCACACACACAGCTACTCAACAGTGTTAGTGATGCCATTATTGTAGGCAAGAGGGTCTAGCTTGAATTTTTCATTCAATTCTATCACGAATCATTCAGTTGTTTTAGTGTTTAATAAGCATCCGCAGTATTTGAAACTGCTAGGGACCATTTGGTTGAGTGTCTCATGATCTAGGGAAAGGTTCCTTGTGCTCTTGTATGATGATGAATATAGTTACATGTTCAAATTCCCTTGTGACAGAATTGAAGGAGTGTTGAAATCGTTATATATTGCTAGACCTCCACTGTACTGAATGCCTGAAATACATAAGTTATTGGCTTAAATTGGGATCTTTTCAAAAAAATATATATATATTGAGGTTTTCATCATGGTGGTATTTATTGTAAGGGGATCTGAACTGTAATATAACACAGTTACAGTCATAAATATAATTATGAGTGTGTGAGTGCTGAGGGAATACGGCAGAGGAGATTAATTAGACACAGGTAGTTCCAGGCCTTCTCCAAGGGCTTTGGGCTGATGCAGGGGGAGGTCTTTCTTCTCACCAGCTTTCTCTTTACTCCTAAGAGACTCTCCCACACCGAGAACTAAAGACAGAAGTGGGGGTGTCTTTTCAGCTGCGCCCGAATCAGAAGGACTTTCTGTTGCCTTCAGTAGGAGTGTCTCCTTATACCTGTAAAACAGCTGCTGTCACTAGAAAATACTGTTTTCCATTAAGAATTTACCTTTTGAGACACTTGGTGATGTCTCAGGATTTGGAAATTATATTTTAAAATGAAGTGACATGCAGAGGACTAGGGGTCAAACCATCAAAACTCTATTAGGGAAAAGTGTGTTTAGTAATGGACCTCATAAGTTATGAAGCATCCATGGGTTCTGACGTAGCTGTTGCTGGGACACTGTGGTCACTCTCATCGGTCCGGTCACACATGAGATCTCACATTAGAGTAGAGAAGTGACACTCTGCCTCTTTTTGTCTCCCGGACACCTACACACTTCATGGCTTCACATATTTAATAAGTGACTCCTAACATTGACAAGCAGGTCTACTCCCAGGCCTAAGATTTGTGTTACAGTAAGTTATTTGAATAGATCTAAATAGTAAGGTCACTGCTGACACTAAAAATAATCTAGAAAATAGCCCAGGAGATAAAGATGGGTGCTCTGATTTTTGCTGAGTACCTTGAAAGGATGCTTATGCACAGCTAGCAGCAGTTAGAAACTCCTGGATGACTTGACCTCAACCCCTTGATCTTGAGGCTATTTTAATGCATCAAGAAATAGTTAATTACCACCAATAAGATGCAGAGACAACAAGCCAAAGCATCAGTTAAGCCAGAAATGAGAATTTTGTAGTGGTGCTGCTTCTCGTTCCCAAGGCAATATAACCAAGCAGACTGTGTTGACCATTAACTGTCCTGATTTTAGCATGGTAGTGACACAATCCCAGGTGAGTCCCTTCAACACTGGGCTCCTCTGCCTCCCAACTCTCATCGAACATGCATGTCAAAGCCTCACAAAAGTGTCTTTTGACTGACCCATTTCCGGGCACCTAAGTGGGCAATCCTGTCTAAAGGAAGTCAAGAGCCGAGACTGTCTTTAAAAGCAAGTGGATATTACAGAGATACCAAACCACAACTTGTGACTACTGAGCGCTGGAAACCAGCGGTCAATCGAAGGCGGAATTCCAGTCATCTGCATGGTTGAAGTGCCAGCCAGCAAAATGTACTTTTCGTGTTTTCACACAGCTGGGAAGGTGAAGGCAGCTTAAAGCTCGCAGCCAGGAAAACCTTAGGCAGGATGGAACGCCCCAGGCTTAAGAAGAGGAGATAAGGGTGAAGTGGGAACAGGTCACGAAGTGGCTAATTGTCATCACATGACTCAAATGTTTATTTTTTTAAATCTTCACTCCAGACTGAGGTGTCCTCATTTCAGTAAGTATTAACAACAGGGGAAGGAGGAGAAATAAACAAAAACAAAAACAAGAGCTGGGCTTGTTTACATTGTGAAAAATGATCAACAGTCAGTTATATGAAGGCATCAAGAACAACATTTCAACAGTGTTTTCCAGCCCCAGACATCAGCAGAAACTCCCTACAGAAGGCTCTAGCCACAGTCGCTACCCAGACAACACAGGAAGCTGCTTGCAGTAACTGTCATCTTCAGGATGAATGGCAGCCAGCTTACAGAGCATGTCACCCCGAGGGTCGTACGGTGATTACACAAAACCAAGGGGACTTGGTCATTTTTTTGGTGTTTTAATAACGCTGATGCAAAACAGGAGTAAAATTACAGGTGCCAGTTCCCACTGCAGAGCGCTGATAAACCACTTCCCATTTTGCAGTGGCTGGTCACATCTGGAGCCTTTAGGGAGGCGAAAGTACTGGAAGGATTATTGCAAAAACTTAAAGACACTTTTGCTGCCATTACTTTGTTTTTAACCTAAATTAGTGGGGTTTGGGGAGGAGGGGGGTGCTTTTTTTAGAGAGTTGTATTGCTTATATCATACACGTATTTAAATACTAATCAAATAGCAAGTTTGGAAAGGGGGGGGGGGTTAGGTTTGGACTAGTTGCTTGGAAACTTTTTCAAATTGACCTTAAATAATCAGAGAAGAGTATGAAACTATGGAATTGTGGGTTATGATTTTTTTCAATAATGAATGCTATCAAATTCCTCAGTTAAAGTAACCTGCTTGAACTTGACTGATCTCTGTTCACAACCTCTTTTATAATGTTGAATTAGCATGCCATGTGCACAGCATCAGAATCTTAAATGGAGGAATACAGTTCTTATTCACCGTGGAGTTGTGGATTCTGATAACCACAAACATGTGGGTAGAATGTATTGGGAGATGGTTGATATTTCGACTTACTTTGAATAAAGCTCTTCTTATAGTATAAATATTTCTTTATGCCTTATGTCTGCTTTGAGGTTATTTGGCCAAGAACCAGGAATGGATGATGCAGTGTCCAGATCATACTCTTCATGCCTTGTGATGTTTCTCATCAGGTCTCTTGAGGAGTGGCCATGTACCTGTATAGTTAGTAGTGCACAGTTCCCTTACGTACTTCTCTTTTTGTTTCCTTTGATTGAGAAAACACAATACAAATCCTTTGGCAGAAATCTGACCCAGCCATTGAAGTCCCGCCTCCAGGGGATCCCTTCAGTGGAGGCAGAGACTTTGCCATGGCATTGCATAGATTGACAGGAAAGCAGATGGTTGTAGCAATGTGGTTGGATTCATGCTGGTAGATTTCTTACAGGGCTTATTTGCCAAAAAATACTCCTTTTGGACCAATGAAATGGCTCATCTGGTAAAGGCACTTGCTGCCAAGCCTGACAACTTGAGTTCAATCCCCAGAACCCACGTGTTGGAAGGAGAAAACCAATGCTCTCAAGTGATCTCAACACACACACACACACACACACACACACACACACACACACACACACACCCCAAAACAAAAAAACAACAACCAACCAGCCAAACAAATAAATAAATGTAAAACTATGTCTCTTAAAAAGACTGTTGAAACTAGATAGTAATGTGGGGGAACTTAATGGACTTTGTTCCTAGTCACTGAGGTAGTTCAGTGGTTCAGCACCTGAAGGCTTCTTTCTTCATGCAGATGAGCAGAGATACATAACAAGTGGATCTTGAGTCTATCCGGTGAAAAAATCCACCTTGTTGGCTGTGCACTGCTAGTGCATGCAGACACAAGCACCCACTGCCTCGGATGTGTATTAACATCAGATGTTACTTCACTGAGAAATTCATCTGTCGGTCAAAATGTGCTGACCTGAATGAAAAGAGACCTCTCCAGTTCTAGTCTGCTATAGTTTGAAAGTTGGTGTCCCCCCCGAAATGCATACACTGGAATCCTATCCTCAAGGTGGTAGCATTAGGAGGGGGAGCCTTTGAAAGACGTTTATGGCATCTTAGGGATGGCACTTCTCTGAGTGAAAGCGATGCCCTTTGCTGTGGGATGTCTTTCTGTATGGTGTAAATATGTGTGGCTTCCATTGGATAATAAATAAAGCTGCATTGGCCTATGGCAGGGCAGGATGAAGCCAGGTGGGGAATCCAAAAGAGACAGTGAGAGAAGAAGGGTAAGGTTGAGGAGATGCCAGCAGACCAGTAAAGCCACAGCCAAGTGGCAACATATAGATTAATAGGAATGGGTTAATTTAATGTGAAAGAGCTAGCAAGCAAGAGGCTGAAGCCATAGGCCATACAGTTTATAATTAATATAAGCCTCTGAGTGATTATTTTATAAGCCGCTGCAGGACCGTGGGGTGGGAAAGACCAAGAAACTTCTGCCTATAGCCCTTACCTGAGAGACAGAGAGAGAGAGAGAGAGAGAGAACTCTAGAGAGCTTGTTTGCCCCTTCACCTTGAAAGAAGACAGTGAGAAAATTCCATCCGTGAGGAAGGGGACCTCTCACCGGACACCAAGTCAGCCAGCACCCTTGCTCTTGGAACTTTCAGCCCCAGAACTCTAAGGAACAAATTTCTGCTGTTTATACGTCCCCATGCCTATGCTACTTCGTTATTCAAGACACAAATGTACTAAGACACCATCCTTTCTGTGTTAAAGTCTCCGGTCAGGCCTCATGGGTGTTCCCCTTTGGGGCAATAATGGAGACTTTCTAGCTGACTACTTTTTAAATTTCTTTTTTTCTATTTCTTTTCCAGTTCCACTTATTGGAGTGATATTCTGAGCTGGCTGCAAGGTATAGGACTTACATGTGAGAGAGCAGGATGACATGGACATTTGCTGAGTGCTTACCATAGACCAAGCTCTTGCTGTGAATGGTTTCCCACATTCCTTACAACAAACTGAAGAAAGAAAAACATCACTCTCCCTGATGTAGAAATGAGGACCTGAGACTTCCTGAGAGCTCATATATCAAAAGCCAGGATTTCAAGCTGGATCTAACTCTAAAACATGTGTTCTTCCCACTGCACTGTGATACTTTCTTTTAGACTCTGAAACTATATAAGAAGGACCAGAGGGAGAGAATTCCTTCAGAGGGAAGTATCTAATATTATTTCAAATATGTTTACATACCTTGTTAGGAAATCTACATGATGCAAAATGCACCTCTTTTTTTTTTTTTAACAAAAATCTCTTCTATATTCCAATTTGCATTTTATATTTGAAACAGCTTAACTAGAAAGTTGCAGCTTAATGGCTGCAAAGGACCAATGGAAATTGCTGCTTTTGATACAATAAAATCTGCAACACTCTTGGTGATGACCTTTGCAGTTGTGGTGCTGCTGTTTTAGCCCAGGAAAAGCAAGCTACTCAAAAGAAGTTTATTGTGAAGTTAAAATGGGCTATCTTTGACCATCCTGGTGGGGGTGGGGGGGTGGGGGAATCAATGTATAGCTCATGCACTGACTGAGGACTAGACTGTTACCCGAGGGATTACCTGTCTCCCACTGTTGGCCATCTGCCTTGTTACCTTCTCTGTTTGTCCGTCCCCTTTCTAAGGGTTCTGCTTACACATCAGTATGATTGTGACTGAAAGTAGCCCTCAGGTCTCAATTTCTCATGATCACTAGGTTGCCATCTGAAAATAGTCTCAAGTCTCTTTAATTTCAAGAGAAAAATCTGATTTCTCAATGCCTGGTCAGTCAATGCCAGGGTGTCTCTGGTCAGGTGTCCTCTGCTGAACCACTAGTGTCGTTGAGGAGAGTGGTACAACCATGCCTATCTCTCTAGCTAGGTTGCAGCTATAGGCAGGACTTGGAGGAAGGGGTCCAGAGTAAACCAGGCACTTCAAAGACATCTCTACTCTTAAACAGAAAGTGTACAGATATGGTCTTGTTATTAGAGTGTCTTCATATAGTCTTCTTTGAACTGGAATCATATAGCCTCATTTTGCTCTTGAAATATGACCAACTGCATGAACCATTTTCCTGTTGTCATTTGACAACATAAACTAGAGACAGAGCCTAGGTGTCTAAGACATTGGGCTTTCTACCATATCAAGCTACATCTTCTCCTGTGGAAATGTACAAAACGTTTGAAAGAACCTTGTCTTGTTTTGCTTTCAACCTACAGTTTAATTCACACTTAGTACTCAGGAATGAATTCTCTAATTTGAAGCCACAGTGGGTATTGGCTTCTCTTCACAGAACTACAGTTTTGTGTTTTTGCTTAAGATTTGTGTTGTCCTCTGTAGCAGGAATCTTAAAAGTTCTTATTAATAAAAACAAACCCAGGGCCAGGTATTGGGGTGAACGCTGGATAATCAGAGAAGCAGAACAAGCCACAGCTACCCCACCTCGCCAGTTCCTTAGCTGATCCTGTTTCTTCAGACTGGAAACCTCTGCGTCTTCATCTGAATGGTTCTCAGCTGAACTGCTGCTCCAAAGCCTGAAAGCTTAACCAGCTAAAAGCTTCTAGTTTCTGGTCTTCACACCTAATATATCTTTCTGCTTTCTGCCATCACTCCCCGGGATTAAAGGCTCGCTTTCTGGGATTAAAGGCGTGTGTCACCATGCTTGGCTGTATCCTTGAACACTCAGAGATCCAGGTAGATCTCTGCCTCTGGAATGCTAGGATTAAAGGCGTGTGCTACCACTGCCTATCCTCTATGTTTAATATTGTGGCTGTTCTGTTCTCTAACCCCAGATAATTTTATTAGCTTGCACAATATTTTAGGGAATACAATATCACCACAGTCCTCTTAGAAGTCTGCGATGCATTTTCCTATTTTGACATCATCTGAACTTCCAGGAATGAGGAGCACCACAAAAGATGTAAGTTGGGTTGATTGTTTGGGGCTGTGGAATGATTGTCGTCCCAGTTTGTACAATCCTGAAAGGAGCAATGGTCCCAAGAACCGTCTTTACAACGCATGGAGGAAGCCAAGTGTGGTGGTACATGCCTGTAATCCCAGCTCTCAAGAGACCGAATTGAGTGGACCATCACAGATTTGAGGTTAGCCTAGTCTACCCAGCAGTTTCCAGGCCTGCCAGGGTTACATAGAGAGACCATGTCTCAAATAAATAACAAGGAAATAAAATGTGTACAACGTTTATATCACTTTTTCAATGACTCCTAAATTTCAAACTAAAAATCAGGGGGAAAAAAAGGAAAGAAGGAAGGAAGGAAGAAAGGAAGGAAGGGAGGGAGGGAGGGAGGAAGGAAGGAAGGAAGGAAGGAAGGAAGGAAGGAAGGAGAAAAAATACTGGGAATTATTTTCTTTGCCTAGAGATAATGTAATTTCTCTGCACTAAATTCTGTTAAATTTTTCCAGTGTTTAAAGAAGTGATAGTGTTTGAAAGATGAAAGGAATTTGTTCCTGTCCTCAAAACACAAAAAACAGTCTGGCATAATGGATGAATTAGGATGCACATATAAAGCATTTCCTTCCTAATGAACGTATCTGCTGGAACTGGTCACTGTAGCGGGAACTAGACGGTAACTTTTCATGGAGGGACAGTACAAATAAATTCCTGTAGTGCTTCCAACGCCTGGGAAAGTCTCTGGAAATGGACCTTAAATGGCCACACAGTTAACGTTCAGATATGAAAGGATTTGGGAAAATAGCAACTGTTTAAATATTAAACATCAAATTTTCCTTCTTTCAAAGAACTAATAACTTAGCAATAAAAATTGTCTTTGAATCTTACCATCACAAGGTCTCAGGAAGGCAGTGGATTTTAAATAAAAATTTTAAATAAAAATTTGCAGACAGTTCTCATTTAAGCAAAATTAACGGCTGAGCCAAGGGGAATGAATTAGTCGACTGCCCCAAACTCACCTTGACCAGACAGCTCCCCGCCTCTCTGGCAGCCTAAGTTTCTCCTCTGTGGAGCTGACTGCAGAGCCAGCCTCCCGAGATCGATGCTGTTGGGAAAATACCTCCGCTCAGAGGCGAGGAGGCCCTAATCAGCTTCTGCAGCTGCTGACCTGACCCTCAACAGTTAAAGAAGAAGCATGCAGCCATGAAAGTGGAGCAGATGGTGGCTACGGAATCAGAGGAAGGGTAGCAATAAAGGAGAAGTCCTTGGGCGTCAAACAATGGGCCACCCAAACAAGAAAAGTCCCTTTGTCCCTGGTAATCAGGAAAGGTTTTATTAACATGCTAGGAGACTCACCCCCGGACAGGAGGGGACAGAGAAGGTGACTTGCTTGCTAAGGCTCTTCCTGAGTAGGGAACTAAAGGATGAGTTCCAGCTCCCCAGGGGGACATGCTTATGATCCTAGAGAAGGAAGACAGAACCTAGGAAAACGTCACAGGAGGAGCTGGGAAGACAGCTCAGTGGGTAAATCTCCTGTCGTCACTGTGCATGCATAGGACCAGAGTTAGGATCCCCAGAATCCATGTGAAAGCTAGATGGGTGTGGCAGCACATCTGTAATCCTAGCATTCCAGAGGCTGAAGCAGAGACTTCACACACACCTCCCACCCTACCCCCTCCAACTCCACCCTACCCCACCCCAGAATGCTAGCTAGCCAGCCTAGCCTAAATTAAGGCAAGACTGAGTTCAATGAGACACTCTGCCTCAATATATGAGATGGAGAGCTACAGGAAGACGCTCAACACCAACTTTAGGCATGTGTGCATGTACTCACACACATATAAACATGTATACACATGGATATACATCACACACATACACACACACACACAAACACACACACACACACACACACACACACACACACACACACACACACACACACACACAAATGAGATTTAAAAAGTAGCAAATGTAGCCATAACCCAGGAGTGCAAATCTAGAAAGCACACTTCTATTTTTTCCTAGGCCCGTGTTTCCTGCTGAACATATTAACATTGGTTGTCAAAAAAATGCTCACAGGGGTTCGAGGCCAGCCTGGGCTACCAAGTGAGTTCCAGGAGAGGCGCAAAGCTACACAGAGAAACCCTGTCTCAAAAAACCAAAAAAAAAAAAAAAAAAAAAAAAAATGCTCACAGGGAAAGCATCATGGCACTATAGAATCTCCCAATAATCCAGAACTTTCTGGTCAACCCATGTTATAGACAAGGAGAGGGAAAGTCAGAAAGATGCCAGAGCTCCCAAGATCACGTGCAAATATGAGGCAGAGAATTAGAAAGAACAAAGGACACCTTCCCATAGACATAAGGACAATGCCTTTCGACTTCCAGGACATTTTCTCTCCGAAATCCTTTGCCTTTAGCTGGAACACTTCATTCCCGGAAGTAGTTTGAAACTGGGACAGGAAACGGTAAAACTGCTTGTTGTAGATGATGACTTCTGGAGAAAATACAAATCCCGTCAGTTAACCTCTGAAGCACATTTTAGCTTTGCACATGATATATTCATGGCCCTGCTGGAAGCCAGAGATCCTTTTCAGATGTTGCTCTTACATGGGTAAGTGTTACACAGCACAGACGGATGTTTACCTGGTGTTATTTCCACAGCAAGAATGAGGACTCCAAAGGGTCTGAATGGTTTTGTAGACAACACCATTGCACTGACTTCCCTCATTTGCTTGGTTAGTACAATCCCAACTGTACAAGCGAGGAACCGGGAGGGAAGCAAGTTGGCTGGAGCAGACTTGGTACTAAAGATCTTCTCTGTCCTTAGATAAAAGCACCTCATGTTTGCATCCTAAAAAGAAGCAAACCATGTAGAGGCAGCTACTTTTTGTTTTAAACACATGTGAAAGATAGGACTTCATTCACTAGTTAATGAAAGAACTATTACAGTGTCCCCACAGAGCCAAAGGTGTCATCACATTAGCCGTGTCACAGAGGGGTGCTGGAATGAACTTTAAAATAGGTACAAAAACATGGTACTATCCAGAGACAACTAAGCAATTGTGTTCCAACAGACCTACCATGGATTGATCTGTTCAAGACTTACATTATGAGCTGGGGGTGTGGCTCAGTGGTAGAGTGCTTGCCTAGCATTCATGAAGCCTTGGGTTCAAAGACAGCTAAGCATGGCAATATCACATGTTTATAACATGAGCACTCAGGAGGCTGATGCAGGAGGCTCTTGAGTTCAAGGTCAGCCTTGTATAGGGAGATGGTGTCTAAAAAACTGAAAGGAAAAGAAGAATTTATATTATTATCAGTTTTCTGTAAGTTACATAGAATTGTAAAGACCTCAAAGACAGTAAAAATGAGACTTCATCCAAGCAGATGACTTAGAAAGATATGACAGATCTGTGTGTTTTTTTCCTGAAGACCCTTAAACCTTTCAGTCCACTCAAATTTCCTTCATAATTTCTATGACTCATTTTTACTC